ATAATTTGATTTCCTAATTCTAACAAAGAATGATGCAGTGCTGACATTAACTATTGGTGAGTTCCGCACTGCTTGCTTCTGAACTCACAGACAACCACAGCCACGCTCTCCTCCTGTTAGAGATGCCAGCAGGAGCTATGCAGTAATGACTACCAGAAAGTCCAGTCATTTCAAAGCTCTTCTTCTTCGCCTCAGGTCCTGAGCTTTCCACAGCACCCAGAGTCAAGAACCAAGTATGTTTAGAACTCAACGGTCTAGGTAGAAGGACTAGACAATGTGAGAGGAGGGGTGGGTATCTAACTCTGCATTTAGAACTGCTGGTTAGAATGACCACATCCCAGATGAGTTTGCTGGGTCTGAGTCCTGCCTCAACTTCACTTCGAGCTCGTGGCTAACGTGCATCCTGGCAGGCAGAGGTGATGGCTGAAGCAGCTGAGTCCCTGCCGCCCAGGTGGAAGACCTGGGCTGGATGTCCTGCCTGTTGTATGCATTTGGGTTTAAATTGTTGATGGAATCTCTCCACTTCTCTAGTTTCCTCCCTCCACTCCTGTTTCTTTCTCCAAACGCACAGAACTGAACAGAATATGAAAATGCCAACGTATTTTTTAATGGATGTTATGAAGCTTTGACCACCAACCAGCTAATGTATTTATATTTCTCCCACCGCATTATTGCCTCCACTCTTTCTTGCACATTGTAACCAATGTTTAGTTTCCCTAAGAGAATTCTGTTCAGTGCATTCTGAAGCCAGCAAACATGCGATTCCTTTCCATTGCTAATAGTTCCTTAGGGAAATATGATAAATTGATATTTATTTTATCAGTCTGTTTTTAGTTTGGAGAACAGTCATTCTGAAGAGCAAAACTTGAGCCTATTTTACTTGGCATTACATATTCAGAGAAAGTGCATTTTTAGTTAATTGTTACTTTTCATGCTATTTGTCTAAAGGAATTTACAGAAATATTCATTGTGATAGCAATGTACTAGCAGGTAATAGATCATTTCACTAGGGTTTCATACAAATTATTTTAAATATTTTATCATATGCCAATGTCAGCGCATGTAACTATATTGAAATGAATGTGGTTGGATGCTACCTTGGTAAACCTAGAATTATTGTCTTACAGCTGTGAGAAACCCTCAGCTGTTTGTAGCTGCCTCTCTTCTTCCTGTCCAGGGAAAGAGAGAAAGCTGCTTGGTGGCCTGAGAAGCAGCATCCCTACTTCACATTTCATTATACAGACTATTTTTTAGCTGCGCAGTTAAATGCTACCTGCCTGACTGCCGCACTGACACCACACGGTAGGATCAGACCTCACCTTCAGCATCTCTCCTTCTTTGCTTCTCCTTTTCCCTCCATTGCCTTGCTTCTCACTTCCTGTTGCTTTCCCCTCACTTTCCCTTCAGCTGTCTTCCTGTCTTTAAGCATCATTGAATTGCTTCAGATTGTCTATCAGTCACATCGTTAAGTATCCTGCTTGAATGTTACTCTGTATACACCTGCAGCCCTCAAGATAATCACTGTTTGGTCTACCAAATCATTAACGATCATTCTCAAAATAAAAATATTCAATCTATTTAAAATGTAAAATCCTCTGAAATCCGATTTGCCATGTCTCCTTAGGCAAACTACTACATAGGCTTTTTGAATTCTAGGTGTTTCATCTATAAATGGAGGAAATGATACCTGTGCCCTAGGATCTGTTCTAGAAGAATTTAGCTAGAATACTAATACACGACATACAGGCCTGTGTCTTGTATAAAGCACAACCTCAGGATTTTGGTTTTCCACAACCTTGCAATTATGCAAGTAAATATGGAAGCAACCCATATCTGCTCTCATCGCTGTTTTGTGTCACTCATGATTAGTTTAAATTACAGGTGATGTAAACCTTTAAGTTTTAAATTAGAAATACTGAGGGCACATCAATAGCTATAGCATTTGCATAGCTTGAGAATAGTATCTTGGAAAAAAGAATTCTAGGTACATTAAAAGTTTATTCTAATTTTCCAATGTAGTGATTGAAGACCATACATTTCATTCCAATAAATCATAAAACACTTAACATTCACTAATCATTGATTGCATTAATCATAACTCAAAAAATTAACATAAGCTACATTGTGACTAGAATAAATTTCTCATGGCAAACACATTCTGGAGTTAAAAGTTTATTCTTTGGGGCCCGGCAGCATGGCCTAACGGCTAGAGTCCTCGCCTTGAATGTCCGGGATCCCATATGAGTGCCGGTTCTAATCCCAGCAGCTCCACTTCCCATCCAGCTCCCTGCCTGTGGCCCGGGAAAGCAGTCAAGGATGGCCCAAAGCTTTGGGACCCTGCACCCGCGAGGGAGACCCAGAGGAGGTTCCTGGTTCCCAGCTTCAGATCGGTGCAGTACCAGCCATTGTGTTCACTTGGAATCTGCTTTTTTCTTTCCTGAAAATCATCCTGAGGGAGTGCTGCTCCAGTCCCTGGAGAACACTGTTAGGCTGGCTCCAAAATAAAATACATCTTAAAAAAAAATCCCACCACTTGGCAATACTGCTACTTGGGGGCCAAAGCTGAATGTAAGAATTGGTGGTAGGGAAGAGGGGCATACATATTCAATTCAGAATATTTGCTAGGTTCTTTGGGGTGTTGGATTTGCCTGAATGGCAGCAAAAATTAGGCAGAGGAGAAACCTTGCACATCAAGCCAGATGCTGAACTGTTCAACGAATGCCAGAGAAGCTTCTGGAAAACCTAGGAGCCTGATGGATGGAGGTGACACAGAGTAAGGTGTGGTACATTCTTTGATACTTCTTGGTCAGAGTGTCCACTCTGCTCCAGCTGAGTCTGACCCGGTGAGCCTGGGTGAGCTTTAGGACTGTGCTACTACCTGGCCCAGGCAGTGAGGGTGGAGGCCCAGGCCACCCCCACCTCCCTCAAATGAATGCAGGAAGCTCTACGGGCTGCTTCTTCTGGTCTCCGTGTCGCCCCCAGAAGGATCAGCAAAGCTTATGCTGGGAACCGACAGTGGTTCCCGGGGTCACCCAGAGTTAATTGCCAGTCCCTCTCTTGGACCTCCTGTGTCCTCACCCCCTCTGTCCTCCATGGGGACTTCCTCTTGTTGCAGCCTCTGCTCCACCCACCCACAGTTTCTTTGGTGTTCCTCCAGCATGCCAGGCACCTCCCGTCTCAGGACCCCGGGCCTTGTAGTCCCCTCTACCTGTAAATTCCTCCAAGTACCAGCCTGGCTCTTCCTCTGCCTATACAACCCATTTTCTCTGAGAACTCGCCTCTGACCACCACAGCCAAGATGTCAAGCCTTCTGAAGCCCACTCAGCACTTCATGACCTCCCAACTGCATGTTGCGATGATGGGGACCACTAAAGGAGCATGTGGGGTACCCCTCCGGCTTGGAGTCTCTCTCCCATAGGACGGTGTCCATTTCCCAGGAGTACAGGATTTTTGCTTTTTAAGTTGTCATTCATTGCTCAGTCCCAAAACAGTACCTGGTACCTAGCAGGAGGTTCTATCCTAAGAGGGTATTCATAAAGTAAAGGAATTCGCTGAATCTATGCTTGGGCTCCAAGTCTATGATGGGGCGTCCTTCTAGCAGCTCGTCTCCTTGAAGGGATTCTGTGGAAGCTATAGGATCGAGGCTCGCAGAGTTCCTCTGGCCTGTGTGCGCAGGGTGAGGCACAGGTGTGGCTATGAGTCAGGAAGCTGCACTCGCCCTCAGCTGGGCCCTTGGCCATCCCGTCAGAGCAGCTGCACACGCCTCTCCCTGGCAGCCAACTGCACCAACAAAGCCCACAGGAAATGATGCGTAGTCTCACCTTTCAGTCCTCCCGTTCTCACCTTGCGTCTCACTACACACTCTTTTCTGGCTCCTAGGGTCTCCTTCTTCAGAATTTGACAGACAGGAGTAGGTTAAGAAAAAGGCAAAAGGCCCTAAGCCTGCTACAAAACAGTCGTTTGAAAGCAGAAAAGAACATGAAAGGCCTTAGGGCCCCCACACCAGTTGCTCCTCTTTGCAGATCAGCAGTTGGTGCTGTAGCCAGAGAGGAGCCCTGCCCAGGAGTTAAGGCATGGTGGCTGCCAGCACCTCCGTGTGGATTCTTAAGAGCCGAAATCACGCCAGGGTCAAAGGCTTCTTAGACCAAGCTGAAGCTGGATTCCAGGCTAAACTTATTCTACAGAGACTGGAAGGTTGCTTGCTTGGGCCCCGATAAAGAGGAAGAAGAGTGACTGGCTCCCCTCCTTGAACTGACCTGCTCTGAGGACTGCAGGCCGGCAGCCTTGAGGCCTGTGGCTGCCTGGGCCTCCTTGCTCCCAGGGATTCCCTTGGTGGGACATCCCCCTAGCTTTTCCTGGATCTGCAGTTTTCCTGGTACAACCATCATTCCTGGCACATCCACTTCCAGGGCTCCATGGCTCCACATGGGCTGGCATGCTCCTCTTCCTCAGATGGGACTTTGCCCCTCTGAGTTTTCAGATGTGACTGTGTGTTTTAGATGGGGCTGTGCAGCTGGAAGCTCGCTGGGATACTATTTCAGGAGTATTGGGAGATAGAACTTGGAACCCACTCTCTAATGGACACCTGCATGGAATCCCAGGCTCCTGGCTTCATCTTTACCTAGCCCTGGCGGCCTTTTGAGGAGTGAAAGAGCAGATGGAAGATCTTTTTCTATCTAAAATGATCCATGCATATGGAGTAATGTGTAACAGTCTTGGAGTTGTATAGAATGCATGACTAGTTACTTTATGAAATACACTTGGAATGGCCTGGCGGTGTAGTAAGTAGAAATAGATGAAATTTCAGTCTACAATTAGTTATGCAACATAGATACTTGAGGTAGTTCTTTTCCTTAACGCGCATTCATGGCTATGACACTAATCTTATCACAAAAATATCTGCCCATAAAAACCCAACTACATAGCCAAAGTAAAACCGCCCCAGCCAAGTTGTCAAAGGAATCGTGTCCCAGGCAGCCACTCCACGCATGGACCAGAAGCCGTGTCTGAAGCATTTTATTTGCTCACATTCATCCTGTTTGAGGTTAACACTACTTCATCCTGTAAACAAAACAGGAAACAATGCAGCAACAGCTACAATAAGGACACTGTGTGTAATAAAATAAAGGAATGTGTCGAAATGGACATCCAACGCAGGCAAAGAAAATCTGGACCTGATTATGATTCAACACCATGGAGAAAAGCCCCAACATCTGTAAAAAACAAACGGACCACGAACATCAGGATCGTCTTAGAAGAGAAGCAAGAATTCAAAGTGCAGGTGTGCCAATCTTCATTTCCACATCCATCCAGGAAAGAAACAGAGCATACTATTATTTTATATAAAGTGACAAGTTCTGCCTTAAAACATTTAGTTATGTTATCTTGCAAGAATTTTTTTTTACATGATCTCTACATTGATTTGATGAAAAGATGGTCCTAGGCGATACATGGTCTAATTTCTTGAATCTAAGGAGATTATGGAAATGGTACATTTCATTTTATTTACTTATTTGCAGTAACAAGAAGCTGAAAATTCAGTATCAGAAGAATCAGTAATTCTACTCCTTCAAAACTCAAAAAGCCCCAAGCCCACCATGAGCCTCGAAGCCACATTGACTCTGTAACAAAAGGCTGTTCCTAGTTAATGAGTTCTGGCCAGCTGGCATCAACAGCCAGAAACCATGTTCAATGCCAGAGTGTCCAAACTAATCCGAATCCCGCTGCTACCTGGCATCATGTGTAAAACTCATTTCCGCTTTCTTCACTGTATAGGACCCCAAAAGTTTTCCCATGAAAGGGGGCATTTGTTGAAAGTGATTTTTGAATAGAGAACTTCCATGAAATACATTTCAAGTCTTAAAAGAAAAATGATGTATCCAGTACTTCTCACAGTGGCACAGGGTCTGTCCGCTGTGCACGATGCGTTAGCAAGGAAGAACAGTCTTAACGCTGCGTCCTTTCGCGTTCCTTCCAGCTCTGATTACACTGAAAACGTCTGACTCTAATGCTTGCCGTCTTCCTTAGCAAGAAACAGCACTAGTTTTTCAAATCATGTATGTAGCTCAACAATAAGATTAATAAGTTACAATACATATGTATCACAGACAGATTCATCTTTTTTTTAAATTCACTCAATAAACTGTATTCCAATAAATGCCCTCCCCCCGCCCCCAAAGAGTGTACTCTGCCTATAATGAGGTGTTTAAATATTTTTCTCCAACAGCTTTCATGATATAACGTTATGAAAACACGAGGTTTCGGGCCTGGTACTAATAAATACTTAATTTAAAAAGAAAAAGAACGCCGCTACAGAGGAACATAAAAAAACACCCTCCCTGCCCCACGGTCCTCCAGCAGGTGGCGCACGGGTTCAGCCTGACATGGCTGAGATCTCATAGTCACTGACCGAGGTGAGGGGTTTGCCCATCATTCGGATGTTTTTCGCACTGGTGATCCTGGCCATCATACACACGGGCTTGTCAAAGTACTTGACGAGCGCAGGCTCGGTTAAGAGCGAGGCCAGGAACTGCTCGAAGGTAATAGCCCAGTCCCGGTCGAGGCTGGTGCTGCGGGGCAGTGCTGCAGAGCCCTGGCCGCTGCGCACCAGGACCGTGTCCTCCCCAATGTCCTCGCAGTGCAGCTTGTCCTCCTCGTGGGAGCCGGCACTCAGCACCGAGTACGAGGACATGGAGCTGTCGTCCTTGCTGTCATCGTCAGAGATGAGCATGGACGAGCAGGCCCCGTTGTCCCGGGGCGACGAGTCCTCCAGCTTAATGTCCTCCATCTGGCCTCCCAGGGAGTGCTCCTCGCCGTCTGCTGCCAGGGGCTCTGCGGTCTCCACCGCGTCCGGCTGACCTGGCCCTTTCTTGGGGAGCAGTGTGCCACCTGCCCCGCCGCCACTGCTGCCCTCCTTGGCAGGCTGGGTGACGAAGAGCTTGCCCACTTCCCCGATCTCCAGCAGCAGGCTGGTCACCGCCGCCGTGGCGTGGTACAGCTCTTGCTCGTTGGGGTCCTCGCTGAACATGTTGTACATCGTCTTGCACAGCTCAATGAACTGCCCCTGTAGAGGAATTGGGAGAGTCACACATCTAACGGGAACTCTCAGGGAAGCAGCAAGGCGGCAGTAAGGGGGGCTCCCGAGTAACTCCTCCAAGCCAGGTGGGGGGCCTGTGGGTTAAGGCCTCTTGAGGGATGCTCCCCCTTTTGTTTTGTATTTGAAAAACAAACCATGGAAGCATAACAAGCGTTCAGATACTCAACATCTAGAACCTAGAATGGTGGCTATCCATTTCATAGACTCTCTTTCTTCATCTTCTTTCCTTAGCATCCACCTGGGCTTCTCCCAGGCAAGCACGGATCCCCCTTCCTACACACCTGCCCCATCACCCCAGACACAAAGCAAGCCCTGCCCGCCTCAGGCGGGGGGCCTGTGTGTTCTTCCACCTGGAATTCAGCAGTTACATCCTGTGTGATCGCTTAGTGGCCTTTCTTCCTCATTACAGAGAGGCTTTCTAAAGAAAACCTTGGCCCGCCATCTTCATCACAGTAGTGGGAAAGGCAGTCTGGGTTGTGATGTTTGGGGGGCTGAGGGTGTTTTTAATGACTGGGGTGAGACACGTGTGATCCCGAGATTGGACAGTTTATGCTTCACGTTTCTCTGAGAAGGCCATTTTCTCTTCAGGGTTTAAAATGACTTCACACGGCAAAGCACTTACCTGGTTCAGTTTGGGTAGATCCTTGGCATTCTTGGACTTGGACTTATTTTCTGGAGTCCAAAGTCTCAGATAATTACGATTTTCTTGAGAATTTGCCCTCTTCCCTAAAACCCAAAGGTCCAGAAGTTAGTGTTCAGGGACCAAGGAACCAATGTCCAACAAGCAAGGAGGTGACCAAAACGGAAGGCAGTGTTATACCTTTGTCTGGCTTTAAGCTCACGGTGACAAAGCCATCGTCAGCACTCGTTTTGCTTCTGCTATCCAATCCCACAACTATCAAGAAGAAAAATATAAACTTATATACTACAACTATACACTTATCATCATAACAGAAGAATTTCTGCATAGTGGTGTCTGATTTAGCCACCAAAGCAAGACAGAAAAAAAGCAAAACAAAACAAACAAAAAAAACCCACCAAAATACCAGCATCCAGACTTACATTTGAATTTCAATGTTTTAAAAAACGTAGTTTTTTTGGAGTAAGTTCAGTCTTACTATGACTATGGCATGGAATGGGGCAGGCAGTTGGCACAGCAGTTAAGCCACCGCATGGGAACGCCTGCATCGCATACTAGCGCCTGTTCTTCCAAGCTAGTTGTCCGCAACGTGTACGCTGGGAGACAGTGAATGGTTTATCTTAAATTCAGATTTTCCTGGATGTCCTATATTTTGCCTGGCAACCTTACCCCTAAGTGAAGGACTTTCCCAGACATAATTCTCACAGCTGGCGCTCACTCTTCAAGTATGAATCCAGGGGATGATGCCACATGGTCTTCAGAGTTTAAAGAATGGTGGCGCTCGTGCTAATGAAAGCGGATTGCTCTCTCTGCTAGGTCAACATCTTAGCTTTACATACATGTGGAGTTATTTCCCTGCCAGGCCCTGCAAGTGATCAACAGCTTATTCTCCCAACGAAACCAAAAGCTATTTTGGTAGAAGAAAGGAAACTTCTTTTTTTCCCCCTACAATATTATATGCTACAAAATTCATTCAGAGGTATACATTGGCATGTCAAAAATCTGACGTTGAAGGAATGCATTTAAAACTTCATACTCTTTCTTAGACATTAAGGGACAGGTAAGGGATCGAAAAGAAGCAGCATACAATATCTTCAGATTCATATCCAGCTTGTCAGTGCCTCTAGCACTTTCTGAAACTCCTGAAAGGGGTCTGCTTTGTTAGATATGACTGTCACTGCCCACGGCGTCAAAGCCTTCTCTGCAGCTTGTAAGACAGGCTGAAGGCAAAGCACCACTGACTATGGATCAATTGGAAATGTCCCTCCTCTCTGGTGAAGATGAATTAGGAAGCAAATAGTTATTTTAAAATATTTTGGGTATGCTGAGGCTATGTAGTAAATACTATATTGCCATTTAAGAGCTATTTTTTTCAAACAATCTTTGACATTCTCACTGGATTCAATGTGAAAAAGACAGGAATAAAAACACTATTTAGGCAGTTTAATTCATTTATATGTGTGTGTATGTATGTGAGTGAGAGAGGCACAAATAACAAACTGAGAAATATTTTAAGACGCTAATAATTATCTTTATATGGTAAGATTTTTAAGATTGCTTATTTTTATGTTTTATCCCTATGTCAGAAATTTCAGCACAAAGCACTAGCACTTTCAGAACTAGAAAAGCAGAGGCAGATTGAGTGACAGCGCGAGGGAGGGAGGGAAGGAAGAGAGAGAATAAACCTTCTATCCAGTGCTTCTCTCCCCAAATCCCCTCCAAAGCCAAAGCTGGGCCAAGCCAAAGCCAGCAGTCACAAACTCCATCTAGGTCTCCATCTTGGGTGGCAGGTCCAAAACACTCGGGTCATCAGCTGCTGGCCCCCAGGGGCGTTGGCAGGAAATTGGGCAGCTGGGACTGAGACTCTGTGGGTATCCCAAGCAACAGCTTGAACTGCTGCATAAGAACACCTACCCCTAGAAAAACATTCTTTAAACCTCACAGTTCAATGATATTAAATACTTCAGGCATGTGACCATTCCAAAAGCACTTCTAAAACAAAAGATTGCTTTTCTCACAGTGGTACCACTAGGAAGTAATGCATGGTTAGCATTTTTGTAGCTGGAATATTAAGACTCCTTCAGGATGAGCCAAGGTACCATACAACAAGCCTTCCACTGGGGCCTAATGGCACTTACTAGGACTGCTCTGCCTCTCCATTCTCCGTACCCGCTAATGACAGGCAGAGAAATCATTGTATGTGGCCTGCTTTCCATGATGTACTCCAGTCAGAACAAGACCAGGTCTAGCCCATGTCTCTACTCAGTCACTCTCATGCTCAAAGTTCAAATGCAAGTCGAAGTGCTGCTTGTTCTGGGATGGCCAGATTTAAGAGGCAGAAGAACCCATGAGCAACCTATGTTCACCTTTGGACCTCGGAGAGGGAAAGAAACTGTCCTATTTTAGTATATGTGCTGCCAAAGCAAGCACAAAAGAAGCTGTCCTAATGATGAGTTAGAAGATAAGTAACATACTACAATAACAATTACAAACACTGCCAGGCCCGGCGCAGTAACCTAGTGGCTGAAGTCCTTGCCTTGTATGTGTCAGGTTCCTATATGGGTGCTGGTTCTAATCCCTGCAGCCCCACTTCCCATACAGCTTCCCGCTTGTGGCCTGGGAAAGTAGAGGATGGCTCAAAGCCTTGGGAGCCTGCACCCGTACTGGAGTTGCAACCATTTGGGGAATGAATCAGTGGGTGGAAAAATCTTCCTCTCTGTCTCTCCTTCTTTCTGTACATCTGGCTTTCCAATTAAAATAAAAAAAAAAAGAATACTTCTTACACAAGGAAAACAGCATAAGGCTTAGTCTGTATGTCTAGAGATACATGCATGGGGCTTACTCACATCTGTGTAGACCTAATAATCACACAGCAAAAAGGCTGGCACATTTCTGCAAAAAGCCAGCCAGCTTGGAAGAGTTTGGGTGCAGGGACCCAGGATACCAAAAATAAATGGCATTGTATGAGCACATAACCCAAGCCCATCCTCCTGGACACTTCAAGTCATCTCGGGATGACTTACAATACTTAACACAATGTAACTGGCAAATCATTGATTTTGCATATTACTTAGGTGAATAATGATGAACAGAATGTCTATACAGGTCCCTTACAGATGCAAATGTTTTTCAAATATCTTCAATGTCTAGTTGGCTGAGTCTATGGATGTAAGACAACTTTGGTTCTGCAGTTCTATATGAACTTGGTCGTAACTGCTCAGCTCTGCCACTGTAGCATGGAAACAACCACAGGCAATCCAAATATGAACGAACTTGGTGGTGTTCAAGTAAAACTTTATTTACATGCACTAAAATTTAAATTTTATATGCTTATCCCATAACAGGAGATATTATTTACTTTTATTTTTTTAAGCCCTTTTAAAGTATAAAAATCATTGCTAGTTCATGGGCTGTACCAAATAGGTAATGGGTCAGATCTGGACTGTGGGGCCACAGTTTGCCCACTTCTGTCACAGAGCAAACAGGAATATTAGAGAACACTTTCTGATATAACTGCCTGTCCCCAAGTTGAATAGCTTCATAAGAACAGGATGATATCCTTCATGAACCTGACCCCAGCAGGAAGAGGAAAGCTAAGTCTATGGTTCAACAGGGTTTCTTTGTTCTAACCCAGTGGCATGTAACAGGCATGGTCCCTTCCATGGGTTGATATACTTGCTCCTCATTTGCTGTTCAACTTTTAATTTCATGGTGCAGGGGTTAAGCTGTTTGGGACACTTGCATTCCACAAGGGATCCAACTCTGCTAATACACAGCGGATGATGGTTCAAGTATGTGGGTCCCTGCCACCTGTGAGGGGGATCCACAGGGAGTACCTGGCTATGGCAACCATGTGGGGTGTGAACTGGCAGACAAGAACTCTCTCTGCCTTTCAAAAAGTAAAACAAAAAATCAAAAGGCAAAGAAACATATTAAGCAGCCATATTAAAATATTTCCCTGGAAATATGTTTTGAAGCAAATACGTTCCCAATAGCAGGTTCTGTAGAAGATAAACACAGTTAGTCTTCATGGGAAAAGTCACTCACCATGTGTACATTCTGGGGTGATATCTTCAAAGAAGTACTGAGTTGCTTCAAAAGCAGAATCCGGCTCATCTTGATCGGAAGATGGCTCTAGAGAGGGGAGGGAACATCCTTTTCACATCGGCAGGCCATGACTTGGTGGAAGTGTGCTTTCATTAACAGAGAGGCTGGCTCAGGGCAGCATTCAACAGGAAGGTTACAGGTGCAGTCAGGTCCCATCACTGGCAGGCAAGGAATGCCCACTATCTCCAAAGCCCAGGGCACATCTCCCTCATTCCTAACTCTGCCTTCCTACTTAGCAGCCCCTCCCAGTAGGCGTCCCTTTATATTTTTCATTGTCAAGGAGAACTTCCCCAACTCTGTGGGATAACACCATACGAACTTTTTAAAAAACTGTACTTTATAAAGATGCCTAAACTTGTAGTTTACCGTTATTATCCCTGTAAACCAGTAACTACTGTTTTTGTTAATATCGTTAATGTTTTTGTTAATATTGCTAAATGTATCCCATTTGGGACTAATCCTGTTTAAAAGAGAATTCAAATTCTGCCTAATATTTTTCTCCCTCATTCAGGGTAAAAATTGCTCCCCCACAAAGATTTCAATGTCTCCAACATTCATTTTTTTCCCCCTCAATCTTTGTAGCCCATGTGTGACTGAATGTCATCTATTCTTTCTGTTGCAGACACCTGCACTTTTCTGCAGCAACAGCTCAAACACCAGATAAGTGACCACAAGATCACACCTGAGCTGATTTCAGAACCTACATAGTTATGATTCAGTCTGTTCCTAGTGACCAATGATTTCATATACTAAAAGAAAGCAAATGGCTTGCACCGAGAAAGAATAGGATTTCAACCTTGGCCCTCATTTCATGTTCACGTGCAGCTCACTTACCAGGCAAGACGTGCATCTTGTACAGCAGCTTGAGCTTCTCTGTGAGGTCGCCATGGCATGCAGCACCTAGAAGTCACATACAGAGCAACATGAAATGCACCTGGCTGAGCGTACTTGAGCAGTCTCTTCTTTGCAAATTGGAACTAAGACGCTGCATGACGGAAGTTCTGGCCAGAATCCTTGGGTTAGGAGCTTGGATGCCAGGATGCTTGGTTTCCAAACCTTTGCCCTAACTAAGTGTCGACCGAAGAGTTGACCTCCCTCCACATCAGTTTTCCCTCCATAAAGTGAAATGGCAACAGAAATGTTCTTCGAGAGGTCTTGGCATCAGGAACACAAGGAATGTAAGGATCAGATGTAGCAGTTCATACAAAGCATTTCAAGTGCTGCTTGGCACAAAGCAGAATGGCTGCTGACTGGGCCTCAACACTGGATAACTATCAGAGGTCAGAAAACACCCTCAAGAATGTTTCCAGTCACTTCAATTTACTCATTTGAGCAAGTATTAATTGTTTTTTGGGTTTTCTGAAATGCTTCTTTATCTTAATTTATTCAAACATTTATCTGCCACAATTCTATCAGAGCTTCCAATCAAAAGAAGCCTGCTATTTTTTTTTCAACATGCATCTTTGTTCTCAGGACATCCAGCTAAATCTTCCTTCTCTGTCACTCTGCTTTCAAAGAAACAAACAAAAAAGGGACAAATCAAATTTGCAAAAAGGAAAATTAACCACAGAATGTTGCTGGGGAGGTAGAGGAAGGATTATGCTGCCTGACCACATCTTTTTTGCATATCACTTGAGACAAGAACCAAGCACCTGCATGAATGTTCTCAAAGACAGTGGCTCATTACCATGACAGGTATCTGCCGCACTGATACTGTCACTAAGTGTCCTGTGAATTTCCCCTTAGTCTAACACTTTAATATGTATTTTCAACTTTGCAAAGCCCATGAACCCCATAAAATGCAAACATTTAAGATTATATGCATGTGTCATTCTTTGTGAGGAAAATGTGCAGAATCATGATTAAATCTCATTCCAACTTTAGTATGTGTGCTGCGGAAGCAAGCACCATGCTTAAATCTCACAGAATCCACAACTCAAATGACCCAGGGTTCTTCTCCTTGTTCCAGTCTATGATGGACAGGTTGTCTGCCTTTCCTGTGCAATGACTTGAGACTTCAAGCAGAGCTGCCCGGTGCCTCCCAGGCTTGGCAGGACACATTGATCCTCCCATGTGACCTATTTCCTACACTTTCAATGTTCTTGCATCATATGATTTGTATACCTGGCCTCATTCTTACCAATTTCCACCCTCTCTGGTAACTTCCTAAGTCAACATCAGGACACAGTTCCCGAGCCTATGGGTGCCTGCAAGCCTTTTGACACTCTGACTCTGTGACCGAACAGTTATCCAAACCCAGCATGGCTGCAGGTTAAGCAACAATACTAACTGTGAAAATGACGGATATCTCTTCGCCACCCCCCTGTACCACATCCTACCCTGGCTACTTTCTACACATCATATACTTCTTGTTACTTTTCATATGTAGGCCCTGTCTCCATTTCTCCTCATTTCTGATCAGTAATAAAGTTCTGACAGTTTCCTTTTGATGAACAACATCATGAGAATTAGAGTTGTCTAGTGGAATTTGCAAGATTAGCAAATGGTAACAGGTTAGCACAGCAACACAGGTCTTAACCTGATCTGCAGGCTTCATTTGTTTTTGTTGTTTTTTGTTTTGAAGGGCAGGATGTACTTAGATACTAGTTGTGTAACTTAAAATTGATGCCTCCTCTGACTCAACCTCCCCAAAGAAATCCCTTCTTGCTTTGAGACTGGCAGCCCTCCTGTGTCCAGTATATATTCACTGTGCTCCACTGTTGAGTTCACTGCCAGATTCTGACCTTCTGGTAAACAGTTAATGTCTCAGTAAGTTACTCCATTTTTCCGTGATTTTCTTTTTTTCCCTCCCCCTCTAAGCTGAAAATGATGATACTAGTAACCAGACAGATAATAGTGAGGTTTGCATGTTTGTGTTCCACTCAAATTCACACATTGAAACTGAATCCCAAGTGTGCTGGTGTCTTAAGGTGCGGTCTTGGAGAGGTGATGAGCTCATAGGAGCTACGCCCTTGTGTTGGATGCCGGCGCCATACAGCCATGGCTGGAGGGAGGCTGTTTACTCTTCTGCCATGTAAGGACACAGAAGAGTACTTTCTCCATTTAAACAGCTAGCTTCCTCTCACCTGCATGCCTTCCAGACTCTTACAGATGTAGCACCCATCCTTTGCTCCATGGGCGCCTACCCCTTCTTTCCTTGGGCACATCATTCTAATCTATGTTGCCCAAAATCGTAGAGTGACACAATGAAAAAAAATCCATCTTAGCTTATCTCAAACAATGCCTGCCATATCCACAATCTCACATCAGTGTGGTTAAGCTGCATGGTTAACTAGCTATAAATGCAACAAGAGTCTAGGAAGAATCCAATGGAGTAAACACGTTGGCTCATGAGGCGGACAGGCAGCCACTGGTGAGCAGCTGTGGAGAAGGGCAGTGCAGGTGCACATGTTCAGGACAGCTCATCCTTTCTGCTGCCGAAGTGGCCAGAAAGGACTTCCACCAAGCCTGCAGAGGGGCTGAGCTTCCCTGGCCTGTCAGTCTGAGATAATGCAATGTTCTGTGAAACATACTGAAACCATATGAAGTTACATGTAATCTAAGCATATACAGAAATATAGTTAATAGAGAACACACACATACACATGCACAATTATATATATATATAAAAAGAGAAGCCAACTGCTACCCAGAAAGCCCCTTTTACCCAGGTAAACATCCCAGGGTCTATGGGTTCAGCATTTATGTTGGTGTTTTACTGACTTGCAAATTCTCCAATGATGTATTTTAGATATATCACCTCCTTCTGAGGGCTATCTAATACAGAACGCCAAAGGAGCTATCTATATAGCTGCTAACTAAAAGCACATGTTATAATCAGCTTGCAAACCTTTTGCCCTCTAGCTCCATCTGCAGAGGCAGCCCAGAGTCCAGAACCTGAGGACAGCACTAAGGACCAAAAGGGTCAATTCCCCTACTCCCGACTATTGTCCTCACGGAGTAATATCACATCCTTACTTAGCCCAGAGACAAACTCTCGGAAGTTAATTAGTGAGTCTCCATTCTCATCCAATAACTGGAACAAGCGGGAGGCCAGCACATCCGAGTGAGTTCCGCATGCCCAAGGGAACAGAAGGGCAAACATGCCCTTGAACTGTTCAAAGTCGATGCGATACTGTTCCAGGTAAGGCAGGCTGGGGTCATGCCGGTCCAGTGCATTGCTGCTCCCTCCCCAGTAGCAGCTGGTTAGATGCTCTGCCTGCAAGAGAGAGAGATGAGGCTGATCACCACCAGCTTTCTCAGGGTCCCCAAGCACACAGGCACCGTCATATGGTATTCCATCCACAAAGGTCTGTTCCTCCTAGTTTACACATGTGTGAACGGAGACAAAAGTTTAGCATGGGAGCCACAAGGCTGAGAATAGAGATGTGGACCCAGCAATGAGCTTCCTACTTCTGTCCTATTTGTGAGGTCACATTGATGAGAAACAGACACAGGTAAAGGATGAAACAGAAAGGTCTAGGACCTCCCCTCCCCAGCCCCAACACACACACACACACACACACACACACACACACACACACACACACACACACACACACACACATATTTCTAGTTAGTTCCTGGGCATGAGGAAGATTCTTTTTTTGTTTATACCCCATTGTACTATTTCACTAGAAGCCTACTGTGTGGCATTCAGTTGGGTAGAGGCCTTCAGCTTTGCTCTTACTTAAAGAAAGTACAAAGACTACCAACGTCTTTGTCCTAATCGCTTGCTGGGAATGTTTCAACTCATACACTACAGAAGAGGATTAGGGAAGAGAGGGTAAAACACAGGGTAAAATCAGTCAGGACTTCTGCAACGCAGCTTTGGCAGAATAGAGGAAGCAACACTGAGGTGCCCTGTGGCCTTGGCACTGTCTTCCTGGCAGCAGTGCCAAGGGAATGGGATGTCAGAGGGAGGGGGGCACAGGCAGAGGAGGCAACAGCCTGCTGGTCTGAGCTATGCTGTGCTAAATACCATCACAGGTACAGCCCAGGTAGAGTTCCGTGGACAGAATGGTGTTGGTGATACACCTCCAGGGAGGGGTCCCCTCTGGCTAGGTACAGCAGCCCACAAAGCTTACCCCAAACACTCCCTAGGCACCCGAAATACTTGAAGCCAGATCTGCACAGGGGGCACAGACCTGCTCATGGCACTCGTCAGCACCCAGTCAGGAAACAAGTCACTCAGCATCCTCCTTGTCCCCTGATGGACCCCCAGAAATGGGGTGAGGATTGAGAGACCGAGACATGAGAACTCACTGGGCAAGAGTTCTCAAGCAATCAGGACAGAGGAGTCTGGAAGCACATTTTCTACCTCTGCCTCAGGGTGCAGCCCATCCAACTCTTTCCCCCCAAACGTTTACCCAGGGATCCAAGCACAGAGCTCCCCAGAAAGGCAATGCATCAGTGCTTTGCAGCCACAGGACAATACCCTGGGGACATGGTGTGCTGTGTGCCTATGACCTCCCACATATGCTAAGCAGGCAGAGACCCAGGGGCAATCTCCCACACCCGCCTCCTCTTAGTGCACCTCAGTGTGGCTCTTCCTTATGTCCCAGTCCTTCTCTTGCCTGTAGGTGGTCTTGCTGCCTCCAGGGGCCACTCCTTCTTGTGCAGAGTGGTCACAGCCCCTATCCCTGCTGTAGCATACTCCTTCCCATCTTTACCATCCTTTTATATTTGTGTTCAATTGAATCACTATTTTTTTTTCTCTTAAGAAGCAGAGGAACCCCTGTCTGATAGATAACCAAATTAACCCTGCATCATTAGCTACAGGTGCCACTGAAGGGACTATTGCTGTACAGGCACGTGACGGAAACTTCAGGTGAGGCACGAGGCTGCTGGACGTGCTGGAGCACACGATGCTGGAGCACACAGGCAGCCCCAGGCAGCTATGAAATGTAGAGAACTCCAGTTGTTGAGCCTTCTGAGGCCGTCAGAAGAACGAGGGGTGGCACAGCGTCCCTCGCATTATCCATGAGTTCAATGCATTTAGGACTCCTAGCAGAGGACAGTTCAAACGAAAAACCACCATTGTGCAATGCTGATTGTTAAGCTTCTTTTAGGTCTTCTTCATCACTCTCTTTGCTCAAAACAGTTACAGTTAGCTGACAGTAATTAGAGACCATGATAAAATTGGTACTCCTATAAAAGCTATTTTGTAAACTTTTTTCCTTGTCTATGATCACATTGTAACCTGAGGTGTTGGGAATGGTAGCTGTGATGAGGGTTTTTTTTCCTTGAAGAAAAAAATTACACATTGCTGTGTCTACTAATATAGTATTTTTATATTAAAGGTCAAAGTTTGTGGGAGGGAATGATAAACAGAAATTACACATACACAACCAATTTAGCTTTCCCTTAAGAAACTTCAAGCAGTTTTTTCTTGTTCTAGTTCCACATTTTTTTAATGATGTTTATTCCTGCATATAGGCAATTGCAAGTTTACACGAACTTCAGGCAGAATTTAAACTTGGTCACTGCTGTTATGATGAATATTGTAAAACAAAATCCTTGTTCTCTTCAGGCCCATGGAAATAACTGGAATAGTACATGGAGGATGAACTTAGAGATAGTTACAGAAGCATGAACATGTTAACTTTTCCTGTAAGTAATTTCATTTCATGTTCTCAGCTTTACCTTCCAATGTATGCATGTGGAGGCAGAAGCTATCCCTTAACAATCAGACAGAAAAATCAAGAACTCGATTTTTTCCGTGAACTCTTCTACGGGCATGACTTGACTTAGAAACTCACCTTGAAAAGAGCATAAAGTTCTTCAAGCTCATCAATGGTAAAGGAAGTTTCTGTCACAATGGTCCGTACCTATAAAGGGAAAAAAATAAGCTCAAAGATTTTTTCAAACCCCTGCCCCCCGATGCCACATGGGTAAAGTCCCTGACGCCATTTTCAATGCTTCAGTGATGCAGAGGCGGGCAGCAGCCAGGTGAAGGCGCAGGGGGAAGGTCAAGGCTGCTTCATACTCACCACGTTCCGTTTGGTAGTATCCTCCAGGGTCTGGATCACTTTCAGCCTCTGTTTGAATCTCATCTGCTCAATCAAGTCTGCCCGGATTGTTCCAAATTTCTGCAAAGGAGTAACATGGATGTTTCTGAGAAAGCTCTTGCTAAGGCACAGGGCTGCAGCTGCAGAACAGCTGGAACATGTTTGACACATGACAAGCCAGCTGGGGCTACAGTCTGACGCGGTGTTTTAGCACCATTTAGTGGCCATACATACGTATCTAGGAGGGTCTATGCACCTGTGCGGTACAGCTAATTTTTAAAGTCAAAAGTGTCTTCTGTGAGTCAATAGCTCATCAAGAGGAAAGGTTACATGTGGACCCTTATTTGCAAGCGAAGCAATGCATTAATGACAAGAATGTGGAGGATTCTGCTTCCAGGCTTACTAGCAGATGAGGAGGTGGAAGTCGTGTGTGGAACAGGCTCCCTGCTGCTGACTCTAGAATGCAATAGCCTTTGTCCACAAGGTTCAGAAATCCACCAGGCCCCAGATGGAGACACTGTGAGCTTTCCAACTCCAAATGTCTAGTATTGCTTTCATGTTTGGGGAATTGCCGTTCAAAAGCCACCTGCATTTTCTGACTATAGGTAGAAGAAACATGTCAGGTCTTAGATCCCTTAATGGAACAAAAGAGACACAAAGCAACCTAGATTAAAATATGAAGTCAGCAACACCACTTAAAACAAAGCTTAAAGCTACAGAGGCCATGGCTGCAAAGGTTAAATACATTTACTTATTTATTTTAAAAGATTTGTTTATTTTGATTGGAAAGGCAGATCAGATTGACAGAGTGAAGAAGAGACAGAGAAAAGGCTCCTCCATCTGCTGGTTCACACCTCGCCCCCCAAGTGGCCGCAACAACCAGAGCCAGTCCAAAGCCAGGAGCTTCTTCTGGGTCTCCCAAGTGGGTCAGCATCCCAAGGCTTTGAGCCATCCTCTGCTGCTTTCCCAGGCTACATGCAGGGAGCTGGATGGGAAGTGGAGCAGCCAGGACACGAACTGGCGCCCACATGGGATCCTGGAGCATGCAACGGGAGGACTTTAGCTGCTCAGCCATCACACTGGGCCAAAAGGTGAAGTACATTTAAAGAATAAAGGAATAGCTGAAAGACAACATCAAGCAATGGTAAGGATGTGGCACCCAAACTCCCATATACTGCTGATTTGGCAAATTTGTCTGGTAATATCTATTAAATTAGATATACACATCTATGATTTGTATATTCTAGTGCTAAGCAAATACTCTAAGAAACAGTGTCTATTTTTAATTCAGGATATATAACTAGGATATTCACAAGTGATGATTCCATTAACCCAGAGTAAGTAACCACCTAACTGCCTGTTAATGGCACAGTAGGTAAACAAAATTTTTACTTGTTTGTTCTATCAGAAATAAATGCCTGGGTCCAAATTCAATTCTGTGGATGACTTATACAATGAATTACTTTTCAACAGTGTAACAGGTAGTTTCAGTACGTTTAATACTCACAATCATCACAACTTTAAGATTACATCTGTACATTTCAATTTATCTGGAGTTCAAAACAAATGAACTTGGACACTGAATCAGGTAAAACTAACCGATGGTGTTATAAGTTGTGGGGCACTGGGTTTAAGAAGAATGTCAATGTCCATCCACACCACGGGAAGAATTTTCCAATCACTTCTCAACATCTCTACTTTTCGAAAAGTTGGCTGATCTTTTTTTTACATCTTTATTTTTCATGATACAGTTCCTTAGACTCAGTGATTTTCCCTTTTATCCTCTCTCCACCCTCACTGCTTTCCGCTACATTGCATCGATAGCTTAGTTCCTCAGCAACAGTCACAAGTCCATCACTGTGCTATTGAAGTATATCCTGACATTGTAGGTATAGAGAATTGTATAAAGCCCAGCATTCTATTGTCAAGATATATTTAAGTTTCATTGAAGTCAATCTTTTATTCAGAAGTAGAGATGTATACTGCAATGCATCTCCACTTCACTGTATACTTGCATCCGCTATACAATTCCTCTAGATTATATATACTTCACTAATCTGCGTGTCATCTTTGAGCAGGTGCCATGCTAACCTTCTCTGTATCATTCCAATTTTAGTATATGTGCTATTGACATCAGTACTGGCTAATTTTTAAAAAATTCATTGAGTTTTGTTTTAAAGGTAGAGATAGATCTTCCAGTTACTGGGTTACTCCCTAAATGTCTGCAACAGCTAAGGCTAGGCCCAGGTTGAAATCTGGAACCCAAAAAACTCCAGCTGGGTCTTTAAAATGGGCATTAGGGGTCCAAGTAGCCAATTAGCCATTAGCTACTGTCTCCCACAGTGTGTATTGGCAGAAAGTTAGGATCAGAAATGAAGCCAGGGCCAGAATCCAGAGCATCCTAGACACCATGTGGGCATTCCTGGTGGCATCATGATGCTGTGACAAAGACCCCCTAACCTCTAGTTCTGTCACTGCCCGAGGCACTAGCCTCCCTCCCACAGCCTCTTATCTGATTTCTTGCTCCCCCAAGACACTGTGCTTTTAGTAGCAAGAGTGATCCTTCTAAAACTAGAGTCACAAAATGCTACTCTCTTGCTTACAACTTCTTGATTTTACATCATCTCTCTCAAGGCAACGAGTGTGCAAGGCGTGCAATCGCTCATGCTCTGCCTATCTTCCCAAAGTGCCTCTCTTTGATCATCCCTTTCTTATGAGTGCCAGCTGCTGTTTCTCCCAGGAATGGGCTTAAGCACCCACACCCTGGCTCCCTGGTATGCATGCTACATGTCACTTCAACAGAGAAACAAACCTCAGAGAAACAGAATCCCCACTGCTTTCCTTGCTGTGTTCCTTCTTCCATCTGCGTTTGGCTTATTTTGCCCACCAGAGATGGTATCTGCCAGAGCCAAGGACATGGCTGAGTCATCCTCAACAAACGCCTGCTGAATATACTGAGTTCTCATGCTCATCCCAAGACCAGATCACAGCATCCACATCCCACCCCACCTGTTTGGCTGCAAGTTTCGGCCCCGTGGCTTTCCCTGGCAATGAACATTTCAGTTCCATGACAAGAACCACTGCACTCATGTAACTATTCCTTTAATTCTGGGACTGAGGAAGCTACAAATTATTTTTGTATTTATTTTACTTCTAACTGACCCATGGGAAGTTTCATTACCTCTATACCTTGTTCAATATTCAAATCAGGGCAAACATACCTGTCTTTTTGAATAATGTATCACTTTTATGGAAAAAACAAAATAAAAATTATTTCTTCCAGCTTCTTATTTTTTAACAAAAATATGCAGTACATTCTCTATAGTGACTCTATTGTGCAACAACACCCCAGGACTTCTTTCCTTTTAATTTTTTAAATAACAAAATTACCAATAATCTTTTATTTCTCTTCCTGTACTCAATTGTTCCCTTAGTGTTTCTGGGCCTGTTTCTAATTCCCCAATCTAATTTCTAACATTTTTACGAGCAAAGAGACAGCTTTAATGTGGCAGTGACTTCCTTTGGCCGCTTCCTCCCACCTTCACCTCGCTGGTCTGTAGCAGTTCCCTTTCTCTCCTACACTCGGGGAACAACGGGCACGTAGCCCAGAAAGGAAGCAGGTGGACAGGAGTCTGGCTCCAGAGTAAGTTGCTTGGCTTCTCACTGTCCTGCTATTGTTCCCAAATGAAAACCAGAGTTCCCCTGCCCAGGCTCGGCACTCTCTTGGGTTTGTTTCAGCTTGCACAATTATGCTCTGTCACTGTGAAAACGGGGGCAGACAGGAAACAGACACAGAATTTAAAATGAGACAAGGGCCATCCTCAATCAAGCTCAATAGGCCCCTCTTTCCTAAGTAATCCAGCAAGAACAGTGTGTGTTTAGATATTACAGCTTAATAGCAATCCAACAACAACAACAACAATAACACTTAACTTAGGTCACAGGTCCATGCAATGAAGTGATGACCAAATTTTCCCATCAGAGGGAAATTTACTGAAATAAAAAAGCATTATTTCTCATTTCCAAAGTCTATGATTGAAGTCCTCCAAATTCTGTTTAAAGATGCCTCCTTTTGTGTTACCTAACATTAGAGGAACTTCCAACATTCCCTATATAGACAGGCTGGTTCACAACTGTTAGCACCATCATATTCCTTTAGCCAGGAAACCTGCGAATGCTCATGGCAGCGAAGAGGGCTTTCTTTGCTCTAGAAGATGGGGTGGAGGGAGACAGGACAAAGAAAAGTGAGTCATCAGATGTGTAGGAAAGCATACTGCTTAAGGAGGAAGAGACTTGGGTGTTGGGTATGGAACAGAGAGATGGATGGTCAGGGGCAGGGGAGGAGGGAAGGAAAGTAGAGAATGCAGAAGACGAAGAGCAACAAAGACCAGAAGAGAGGTGAGGACCTCACAAAATTGAGTTTCCTGTCACTAAATCGGTTGCCACTCCAGCAGACTTAGGAGCTTTAAAGAAAGATGCCTCAAATCATGACTGTCTTCCTCCTATGGCACACCTTCATAACTTGAACGGGAAGCAGTGAAACTTTTTATTTTTAAAATCTAGATATATTTTATGAATCCTTCAAGTTTCAGGTCTTTTGCCCAAAAATGAGGGAGGGTACAAGACAGGCATTATCACACAAAATACATACAGAAATTACAAAGAGTGCTTTTGTAAGCTTCAGTGTCAAACATGCTGTGTGAACTGAATGTACATTAGCCGTGGCTTGAACACGATGTTTGTAACACAAGATTAACATGAGAAGTACCTGAGAGACCAACCGAGGATCTGAACTCGCTCAGATAGGGGACCCTTAGCAAGGCACTCAAGCTCTCTAAACTGTGGGTCTATTATCTTGTCAAGAGGGCATCATGATACTGTCTGCCAAGACTGGCTTGTGAACACCAATTTTGATGAGACATGAAAACTGAAAACGCAAAGTCTAGTATCATGTTGTTATCATAGGGTGGAAGATGTGTGTGTGTGTGTGTGTGTCCCTTTCTCTCTGCAACTGATTGTTTACAAACTAATAAATCTATTTTTTTTATATCAAGCCCATTCAAACAAAATCTAATTTTTAAAGAAAAATTAGAAGTCTAGCAACAATGTCTGCTTATCTCAGGAGGCAAAGAAATTGCTCACTCTAGAGGGATGAGGAACCTTTTTCCTGGTCAGGACCATTTGGATATATATAACACCATTCACGAGCCATACAAAAGGATCAGCTTACAAATCAGTCTGCTATAGATTTATTGAATTTCCAAGTCCTGCCAGTGGTTGAGATCCAAATGATTTTGCAGGCTTCATGTGGCCCATGGGCTAAACTGTCTCCACACCTCCCACGCCTCCCAGACCTTACTGTCTAGTTTCCTGGGCTCCACCCTTGCCTGTCACCTTTACTCCTGCCCTCGTGCCCTTGGCCTTGCTCTCCAACTCCACAGTCACGTGATGGGGCCTCTGCTCTAGAGCAGAGCCTCTGGACAGGGGACATGCTTGTAACAGCTGGCCACCGTGGTCTCATATCAGCTGGTGAGCCCCAGCTTCCTCATCAGTAGGAGAGGGAAACCAGTTCCTGCCTCTCTGGGTCAGGGCAGCAGAGCTATGCACTATGTTAGGAAAGTGGCCCATCATGCTGCTCTCATGATCCCTATTGTCCTCAACGAGAGAAGGGAAAGCAGGTAGTATTAAATCAGGCTGAACTTGCTCATATCTTAAACTCAGGGTCCACTAACAACCACCAATAACTAATTTACAGTTCTATACTAATTTGCAAGTTCTGTTTTTTTTTTTTCTTTAAGCAATAAGCAAACAACACTGAATTTGCAAATTAAAGCTTTGGATGAAGAAACCATGTCTTGTCCAATCACCTTTCTGATTAGACAAAAGAGGAAGGATTTACAAATGAAGTTATATACTATCCACATCTTGTTTTAAAACGAGGCAAGAGAGGTGAGCGCTGTGGCAGCATGGGTGAAGTGACCACTCGGGATACCTGCATGTTGGCTACCCCAGTACTGATCCAGCTTCCTGCCTCCAGTCTCAGAAGGGCAGTGGATAATGGCCAAAGGGTGTGGGTTCCTGACATTCACTTGGGAGCTGCAGATGGAAGTCTTGGCTCTGAACTTTGGCCTGGCCCAACTCCAGCTGTCGTGGGCATTTGAGGGGTAAACTGGGAATGGAAACTATCATGGACTGTGTTCCTCTTGTGTGGTGCCTCTGTTACTCTATCTTTCAAATAGATAAAGGAATCCTTTTAAATAATACTATAAAAAATAAGAATTAAGATGATACAAAGATCAAGAAAATATTGTTGGAACTTGGTGGTGACTTGATGGAAATTATCTTTTGACTTGCAATGCACTTGAAAATATCAGTTTGTTACACAGAGAGGATCTTAACAATTCCCACGATGTGGTGATAAAGAATTCTCAGAACTTGCCACCACCATCTTGTGGCAGGAAGAGCCAGGACAGTGTTTGGCTGTGAAGATGGGGTGAAAGCCCCTGCAGTGTGGCGGATGCAGGGGGTGGGAGGTTAGGTACCCGAGCCAGGCCAGACCCAATGCTTGGGACTCAGGCCTTGGTCACTGCTGCCACGCAGTGACTGAGTCCTTGGCTTTGGGCTCTGCCTGCTGTCCGCCCGGCGGTGAGCTCTAGGGTTTTTAGGGTATGTAATTGCTGCCCAGTGACATCTATGGATAAGGCCAGTATGAGTGTAGGTGAGGGATGAATTCTGGGTGATTCCCAGCGACGGGGTCACTGAACTTGCTTGCAAGTGTGGGGACTGAGACCTGGTGGTTTGGAGGGGAGAGTCCATAAGTTTATTTGGACCAGACTGATTCACCAGCCCATGTGGGAATCCTGCCTGAGATATGCTGTCAGCATAGAGCATCACTGACTGCCACACACCAGTCCACACCAAAGCTATAGATGGGGGCCTGTCTGGTAGGGCAAGGTACCAGTACCTGACTGAGTGGTGGAACAGGGGATGGGTCACACTTGGCAGGGTCAAGACACTAACCAGCACACAAGAGAACCAGGTCTGGGTGTAAATTCTGTTGGGGATGTGTGGGCTAAACCCTATGGAAATACAAGTCCCGCTGGTTAGCTCACAAGTTGGTGTGGTGATGGGCTGAGCTAG